CCTTATTCTTAGAATGGGACTGACTCGGAAGACCTTGCCAGTGGATGGTCAGTCATCGACCACCAATACCAACCAGGCTCATGCAGCCTGGATCGATGCAATGCACAAATTCGACGTCCTGGATCACAACATAGACGCCTTATCAGGCCCCGGGCAGGTCCCAACAAGGCTGATTAACATTTTTACGGGTCAAATCGAAGAAATCCACAACGATACCACGAAACGCTATGTCATTGCATCCTACCTCTGGAATCCAGACAGATTTTCGGATACTCAGGAACATTACACTGGTTTGTGGAACGACATACCCCACGCACCCACATTCGACGACTGGCTCCGTCTCACTTGTCTCATGCATCCAAACATTATTCAGGTGGTTGACGCAGAGGAAAAGGAGTTGCATCGTTTGCATTGTCCTTCGGAGGTGCCAGTAGGGATATCCCGGGAATATCTACAAGAGATATTTCTCCTTCTCGCCAGGGAAGCTTTGTTGATGGGCATTGAGCATGTCTGGATAGACGGCATCTGCATAAACCAAGCGGACCCAGACGATGTCGCGCGTGAGATACCGAGGATGAGCGATTATTACCGCAACGCAGCATGCTGTGTTGCTGTATCTGAAGCGCTACGCAGGCGCTATGCTACTGCTGAAGGCCCTCCACAAGATGACACCGGACCGGAATCCAGAAGTGCTCAAGCTTGGCGCCGGATTATAACTTGGATGAAGGGGTATCATGCCAAACGGCTCTGGGTCTTCCAAGAGACTTACCTAGCCACAAAAGTTGTAGTCCGCGCTAGTAACATCCGGATCGATGCCAACGAAATGGTCAAGACAAGCGACTCGGTTTCACCTGCCTCTGCCAACCTTCTCAGCATTTCTAGTCACCAGTTTCCGATTTCCCTCCCGATATCGGATTGGGATCGTCCGATGTCCCCTGAGCTCTGCTTGCAGTACTGTCGCGAGCGAGAATGTACATTCCTTCATGATAACATTTACGGCATCCTTGGTCTCTTTTCCCCAAAAATTCGCCACTCGCTTCCAGTGGATTACCAGCTTTCACCAGGGATTATTCTCGCCATATTTGCCTACTTGAGAGTCCGAGCTGGGGACTTTCTCCGCTTTACTTACGCTCCAGCATGAATCCCATGAAAGGGACGATCCAGGCCTTGGCGTCTCGTGGTTACCTAGAGGCTTTGGCTGGCACCCGAGAGACATCTTTGGTGTGATGCCGCATGCCGAACTCTTGCCTCTTGTTGACCCTGAAGGCACACTACATATGTCTATGTACTTTCTCGAAGTGGAGAAAGTGGATGAAAGCTTGAGTTTCGCATCTATTGCGGTAGAGCATGATGATCTCAATATCGAGATCCATCTCATACCACGTTATGCCGAGCTTTTCCGCAAACGTCCCCCTCAAACCGGAATATTTCAGATCGGAGGGATATTGGAGCCTTCCAATAGCGGCCGTGATTATCTCGTCTTCGGTCCACCTACCTTGCGGCAGCATATCGCAAACGAGGAGCGCGAAGAAAGACGGACGTTCTTGACTCAGAAGGCGGAAAAGAGACCGGGCGAAGTTGTATTGGCAACCTTTGGCGAACAGAGTTGGTCGTTTGACGGTGTACCCAACTGGTGGTTCTGGCTTTTACTGGCAACAGATGATGAAGGAAAGACATGGAGAAAGTTTGGTGTAGCTCTCAGCCACGAAATTAATACTGACTCGATTGCACGAAAGAGATTTAGCATTCGGTAGTAAGAGCACAAGCTACTGTGCATCCCGTTGTGTAGATGAACGTTGAGACTTGGAGTATACTTGCTAGACATAATTATTACCTGTGGCTATGGGCGCGAATACATACACTTACTTATGTACACAGTGCGGAGTACTTGAATCTCTAAAGATTGAAAAAGAGTGAATCGTAAGAGGATGCTCGGGTAACAGGAGCGGACAGCAGCTCAGTCACAAAACCTAGACGCACCTACTCTGACCCTGGGCAATGAGAGGCCCAAAGCACCTTGGACATCATCTAAACCTTCGTGATTTCGATATTGGGCACGGTCAAAAATATCGTTTAAGCACGGCGAACCAGTCACCGTCTTTCGCTCTGGATATGGTAGGTTCTCGAGATCTAACGGATCGGTTGCGGAGGTGGGTAGGCCACAATTCAGGAAACCAACCAAAGCGGGTATCCGACGAACTGCTGCATACCTCATCAAGCGAGTGATAGAACGTAAAGAAAGCAAACACTTGAAGACAGGGTTTGACGCTATCGCAGCATGCACAATCTGTAAACTTCGCAGCAAAACGAGAAAATCATGTACCACAAGACTCACTACACAAAGTAGCAATAATTCTGTGGAAGGATGTGTTCACAATGTACGTCAAGAATACCAGTCAAGGAGGGAAGTCGATGCCATCACCTATCCCTCAACTTCCTCAACACTCGTTCATGCAATGCCCTCGCCACAACGCTCAGAACAGAGCTATCACAGACCACCTCCATGTCGATGCAGGCGGTCCTTGCATGTTTGTCGTTCATGCGAAAACACTTTATGGCATCAATGACAAGGGTCTTGAAGTCTGGAATTGGTACAGACTGAGAAGCTCAGAAGATGAAGCGGAATATGTGGGGGAGTTCGGGCGAAAAAGAGAGGAGTGAGGATGCCAGTAGTCTGTGGGGGAGAACATGTCGGAGGTATGACTCAGCCTGTTTATGGGGGTTGGTCCATAGCTGGTGATTTGGGAAGCCAAGTTGAGGCAGAGCGAGAGAGGAACGTTGTACTTAGGTGTATCGGTGAAGGCGTGCACTGCGAAAAGCGTGATTTGAAAAATCCACCCGTAGGCGATAGTTGGTCCATACAAGTAATTAAGACGGTATAATCCTGCGAAGGCGACATGAGACATTACTCAGAATAGACAGGATTCACCTACCGAGGCATGCGTAAACCCCACCGTTTGCAGGTCGAACGATAACAGTCTCACATCCTGCCATTTATTCCCTTTCGTCATCCATGCCACTGCATTGCGCAAGCATCGACATCAACGACACATCAACAACGTCGAACACAGCGCACCTTCGCGGGAAATGACAACCATTTCAGAAACACAACGAGCTAAAACATCGAGACAGCGCGATGCAATGGCGGAGACGTGTGCGTGTTTGTGATCTGTGATAGACCTGCCAGCAATTCATTGATTGTGTACGAAACGGTGTCTGCAGTGGCACCAAGACTGAGTCTCGACGGCGATACCAACCTTGGGAGAGAGTGTCGTTGCACCATAGAATTTGCGCCTTGCGTGTTAAAGACAGGTGACTGGAGTCCTGGCCTGGTATGTAAGTTGATCTGTGCACGTACCTTGTTCTTCTGAAGATTTGGGAGCCGAACAATTTCGGAACAGTAACAGGGCACTCGTTTCTCTATGCAACTCGATCGAGGTGTCTCTTACGTGAGGGTGGCACGTCTATCGGTAGCCTCGAGGTCAACAGCTATAAAAGCCGCAGTATCCTCAAGACGACTCCTTCATTTCACCACAGCTCTACCATCCTCCAAAAGAGATGCCAGACATCACTATCATCAACGATTTCAATGAAGACATCCATGTAGCTTTCTTCATAGGAGTCCCTACCAACTGGAAAAATCACCTCAAGCCCGGAGAACGCTGGACGGTACACCTGGCCAGTCTCCCACTCCATTTTGAAGCGCGTTGGGTGCGGCGCGATGATTTCGATGCAGGGACTGTTTGGCGCAGTCGCGAGTTCAGCCATGATGACTCTATGGAAATGCTAGGAACCATTGGGGGTGCTTGCGCTGCTGGTACTGCCTCGGTAGTTTCGGCAGGTGCTTTCCTTGCTGGTGGGATATATAGAGCCCCCGTGATTGCGGGCGTTCCCATAGTTTCACGGCCACTCATGGCTGTCGCGTGTGCTGGTGAACTTCCTGTCCTCTCCTGTGATACAACGATGCTGATGCTACAAACTCTCCAGGTGGTGCAAAATACCACACTTGGTGTGCAGATGTGAGGCTCTGTACGGCGAGAGTGTGGGTGCCATTCCGGAACAAGGAGTATTCCGTCAGGATAGTTGAAGGCAGGGGTTGTGTTCTCTGGGATGTTAATAACCATAAGCCGGTCTGATAACTATACGCCCTTCTCAACAGTGCGAGTCTTATACGTAGCCCCTCAAAGTCAGCTGCCCTACTTTGTAACTTATGTCTCCAACCACCTACGCATAACGGCACCATGATATCCAGCATTCAGATAGCACCAATTGAATGTGTACGATCCCGTCCCTCGCTCAGGAAGTTCGTCCCAGCAAAAATGCCGTCACTCAAGAACTGCAGGATCGTGGCACTGCTAGAACTTCCTCCGCTCTCGTAGCGTTCGACTCGGACCTCACCTGTGCAACGTTTGCGCATGCGCTGGCCCGTACCACTTTATTCGGGCGTATTTGACGGAATATCAGTGACATGGCACAAAGGATAGCTAGATACTATCATTCCGGGTAATCTGCAACTAGCATGTAATATGCAAAATGTTCAAAACACCTCAACGCGCTGCTCGACTCACTTCAAAAAAATTCAGGCATATGTAGACTACTTATAGATGATGTATTGTCCAAGTAGAATGAAAATTTCTTGAGTGTTGCAGCTGCGAGAGATGAAATAGTGGTAATTTGTAACCATGCAGGAACATAAATCATCCAGATCCCATAGATCCTACAGATATATTCACAAAGTTATACCTGGAGCATAACAATCACCTCGTCAGGATTCCAGAACACAATTTCGATAAAGGTAATCCTGTTGTTTTAAGATGCTATAGAGGAAGAATTGACGACATGTATGAAAACGTGACAGCAGATAGGAGAGAGTGTAAGAAATTCAATCTCCTCTATGGCACACTCGGCTAGTGCACGGCATCTGCACTCTCCACACCAAGTCTTGCATTAATATTGTGTTGTGTCGTCTCCTCCTGCATCATTCTCGCATCCTTGTTACAATGGCACCAAACCACAGGCGTACTATCCGTCAGAAGAAAGCCGAAGCAAGACATGATTCGTCAAAATTCAATGCACGAACCATTTGGTGGCTATCAACCACAGGCTATCCCTCCGAGTCAACCCTCGATGTTGCGCATGGATCTTCCCCCACCCGGGTATGCACCCCTATATTGTCCCATGCACCATTCTGCACTTCAGCTTCAGCCTTCACATATTCCTCACTTTGCGCCGGCTGGTAGAACAGATGTTCGAGTTGGTGGTGAGGCACAGATATATGATGTCGCAGGCCGTCAGCTCTATTCAGGACCATATCACCAGTACAATCACAATAAGTACATGAATCACGATACTTAACAATAATATATTGCTGTATTCAGTATTTTCAGAGCTTCGCACCACTTCAACTTCTTCAAGTTCGACGACTCAACGCCAACAGATCGAGAGCTGCGGAGAGTCAAAATTGACGGTGCCGGTGCTGCGCCGAGGCGTGACACGACGTGACCATATTTTGCAGATTAGCAGTCAGACCCTGAATTTTCTCGGCTTTCATCCGACACCACACCACAACGTCCTAAAAATGAGCAAAAATCAGATCTATATAGAGGTGGTACGAATCTACAACCCTCTAAATTCGTGGAAGATAAAATGAAGTGGTTGACGAGCTACAAAAGATTTGCTGAAAAAGTTGCAGATTACCCGGAATGATAGTAGATAGCTACTTCAATGTCGAATTGCTAGGAATGTCGCGGCGTCTAGACTCTAAGGAAGTGCTGATGATGAAAATCACCAAAGATATTATTTGCCATGCACAAGGCCTGGTGATCACTGGCTGTCTCAAGGCGGTCTCGGCCTGCAGGGATTCGGCGTGCCATAGATTACTGAGTGCGGCGATATCGAGCCACTGACAGGCATTGTCACTGTGTCGCCGCAAAGGTTCCAGCCAAGACACACCCTTAGATTATCCACCTACAGCAGGCAAGGACATCGCCAGCAACAGCGCCTAGTATTCATGTAAGTGTCATATGTGTTTCTGCTTGAGTTGCAGCGAGAATGACGCAAGTTGGCTAATTTTTGCATTTGTTTGATTTTCAGCCGCCACAAACACGTGAGGCAAGACTTTCTGAAATGAGTGTACTGTTTGAGCGATATTCCCACTACATCCATTGTAACAAATCATTGGCTACTGTCTTCTCACATCTCACCAATCTCGTATAGGGTATGCATTTGTGTCAGCTTGGTTTTCCCGACTTCGGAGACATCTCATGAAGCTGCAGGAATCGGGTCAATCCACCCTACTTCTTATACTTAGCAGTGTCGTGTCGCTGGTTACGAAACTCTCATTGTTAGAATGGGGTCGTCGAGGACCTTGGATGGCCAGTCATTCATCAACACAAACCGGGCTCACGCAGCTTGGATCGATGCGATGCACAAGTTTGATGTGCTGGATGACCACATAGACGCCTCCACCGCCCCACCGCAGGTCCCGACAAGGCTGATCAACGTTTTTACGGGTCAAATCGAAGAAATCCACAACGATGCGAAGCGCTATGTCATTGCATCCTACCTCTGGAATCCAACAGATTTTCGGATACTCGAGAACACTACACTGGTCTGAAGGGAGACATACCCCACGCACCCACATTCGACGACTGGCTCCGTCTCACTTGTCTCATGCATCCAAACATCATCCAGGTGGTTGATGCAGGAAAAGGAGCTGCATCGTTGCATTGTCCTTCGAGGTGCCAGTAGGGATATCCCGGGAATATCTACAAGAGATATTTCTCCTTCTCGCCAGGGAAGCTTTGTTGATGGGTATTGAGCATGTCTGGATAGACGGCATCTGCATAAACCAAGCGGACCCAGACGATGTCGCGCGTGAGATACCAGGATGAGCGATTATTACCGCAACGCAGCATGCTGTGTTGCTGTATCTGAAGCGCTACGCAGGCGCTATGCTAC